TTCCTAGAAGGATGAAGTGCATTGAAATTATTCACCAGATGAAAGCGAATCTCATAGATGCTGCTGAAATGCTGCTTAACTGGCCTGATGGCATTGGAGGGAGGAAGAAATATGCGTTAGGGGATTTACTTATGCATGAACTCACTGATAGCCTAGTTGAGAGTCACTGAGGGGAGTCAGAGGACTGAAAGGAGTTCCCAACATGTCAGAATTAGCTGGTGGCACTTCTTAAAAATACAGATTCCTGGGCTTCATCATCTAGAGATTCTGATTCATTAGGTCCGGAGAAGGTCTGGAGAGTCTGTTCTTGTTGCTGTTGTTTTGAAAATCAGTAATCCTCATTGACTCAGACACAGCCACACAAGTCTGCCAGCTCATAGAGTCCCCTGCTAGGTAGAAGTCTTGAGTGCTGTTTTCCGAGTTTCTCCACAGATGATGGGAATGTTGCAGCTGTGGAGGCTGGGAGGGCACTGCCTAGTTCGTTGTTGTCTTGCTGTTTGTCTCATCGCTCAGCAAAACCGACGACTCAGGAGGGGAATTAGCTAAGGGTGTGCTTACAACCAATTAGGAGTTGGTTAGTGATGTGGAAGTAGTATAAACCTTTAGGAGGGGCTGTGTTCTAATACTAAGTGTAGAAACTAGGCAAGGAAGTTAGAGAAGTACCCCAGAATTGGAAAAATTATTGAAAGAGAGCTGTGTCTATTAGCCCATGTCCAGAGACTCAACGGGAGTGTGACTACAGAGGGCTGGGAGAGTCTGCAATTTGAAATTACAATGAATAATTTTTCAGTCCTAGTGACGGAGAGCCACAAGTAGAACCCGACGTGGTTATCCTTGGCTTTCCTTGACCTTAACATAGAAGATGGAAGAAAGGAGCATGTGATCGTGGAGACGCCTTTGAGGACGGAGTCAAGAAAACCAGACTCCAAATAACGTAAAATTGTTCAAAATGTTTATGTAACAAAACAAACAATTGTCAACTGTTTTGGAGCAGACTGTAAAGAAGGAAGGAATAGTGTGCTTGGAATAGGTGGTATAGTGATACTAGAAAGAAACAGCATATTTTCACTCTCCTTTAAATTATCCCCTCCAAGAATAATGACTTTAAAATGACTTCAATATAATAGAAAAGTTGTAGTCAAGAAGGATGTGATGATACTTAGGAGTCACATAGCTCCTAGGAGCAAGTGGGCCTAAGTATATGGTATGTCAGAATGGTGACAAAACCTGTGGCTGTGATTTTCAGAATTGTGGAACATTGAAAAGTAATTGAAAACCAGTAGGCTGAACTCCTGGGTACAGTTGTGCCCTATACAGTTTGTACAACTGCACACGGTAGTCCTGCATGATACAACCACAGATGATTGATGAAATTTCCAGGTTTTCAAGAACTGGAGAAGTTGTATTTGGGGGATTTAGTATTGAGTTGGATGTTGTACTCCAGCAGAATTTGTAGATGAATTTCAAAAACTAATCAGCATCTGAAAAAATTACTTGTGGTTGTGTAAGCCTAAAGGATGTATGCAGAATGTTAAAAGCTATTATCTCTAGGAGATGGGGTTTGAGGATTTAAAATGCTTATATACGTTTTATAATTTTTCTGTAATGAACATGGATTAAATATTTACAAAGGGACACAAAGCAGTTAGTGCCAACTTGTGAAAGAAAAATTACAATACCAACTTTATGTAATAAGCCCCAGTGAGTGAGCACAGAGAGCAGCTACACCCAACCACCTTACTTCCTTTTTTTGATGAGGTTACCAGACCAGTGGTAGATCAGAAGACTGATGGAGAGATAAAAGTATCTTCACATGTCCTTGAGGACAGAACAGAGAGATGGGGGTGGGGCAGTGGTACATACAGATGGTTATGGAGCTGGGGGTGAGTTGTTGATACCCTGTGAGTGTTAATGAATGCATCAATGATAGCCTGGAGGAAAATAGCTTGTTTTGTGGGTGCTGTCCTTGGTTCTGACCCGTTTGATGTGTTTGCCAACAACTTACCATAGACTTAGTACGTTAGACCATCATGCAGATCTGGTGTGGAATACCCACTTTTCCGATGCCAAAACTCAGAATTCTAGAAACTGAGATGGATGGGTCAGATAAAGCTTTGAAGGTGGATTATAACAAGGATAAGTATGGACTCCTGCCTGAAGCTGTCTCCTACCTTTTCAACTACATGGTACAGATACAAAAGTAGGGAGAATTGTTTTTATTACATGTTTTTGGGGGAGAGGCCTAGGACTTTGTTTCAACTTACTGCCATTCTAGGAGTCTCCTGGGATATGACTGTTACACGAAGGCCATCCTTTGACTGTATTAACCTTGGCATAATGACGGGTAGGGAGGATATTTATCCTCCCCATGTAGTCTTTATTATTGAACCATAGCTAGGGTATTAGATCTAGTCCAGAGGAGAATAAGCCTGTGGAGGGCTTAGAATCATAATCAACAGTGTAGCAGGAGTCATTCTGAGAGTTGAAAAAAACCTTAGTTTGAAAAATTTTTTATGTATCAAAATTTTCAAAGTTTGAAATCAAAATTTGAAATCACAGTTTTCAAAATTGTTCTGACATGATATCCCAGTTTTGTGCAGGTGAGGAAACTGAGACCCTGACAGTTTAATAATTTATCTACACTCTGGACTTTTTTTTTTTTGAGTTGGAGTCTCACTCTGTCACCCAGACTAGAGTGCGGTGGCCACTCTTGGCCACTGCAGCCTTCCAAGTAGCTGGAACTACAGGCACGCGCTACCACGCCTAGCTAATTTTTGATTTATTGTAGAGATGAGGTCTCACCAAGTTGCCCAGGCAGGTCTCGAACCCGCGGGCTCAGGCAATCCACTCACCTCGGCCTCCCAAAACATTGGGATTACAGGCTGAGCCACTGAGCCTGGCCCACTCTGAACTTTCAATACCAAGTTTAATGCTACTATATTGCTTCCATTTATTTTGAAAAGAGAACAAATATGAACGTTGTAGACTGCTTTTTTATCTTTAAAATCTTTTCATAAAACAGTTTGTTTCTTATAGCTAGCATGAGAAAGAGCAGTTGTTACTGGTTATTGCTATTTTATATGGCAGAAAATCCAGGCACAGGGCTGTTTCATGCTGTAGAAACAGCTTACTAATTGTGAATCTGGAGCTTGAGATTGGAATTTTCTCACTATACGAGGGGGGACCCCTAAAATCCAGAATTTATTTGTAAAAAATTGTGTGTTTATTCTTACATGTTTACTAAAGTTACCTTCAAAGTCCTCTCCTTTTGATGCAGTACACCTATTAAGATGCTTTTTACACTGCTCAGAAGAGGTTTTTTTTTTGAGTTGGAGTCTGACTTGGTCGCACAGACTGGAGTGCAGTGGCCGCTTCCTGCCACCGCAGCCTTGCCTGCTGGGCTCCGGCGATCCTTCTGCCTCAGCCTTCCGAGAAGCCGGAATTATAGGCAGGCGCTACCACACCAGGCTGATTTTTTTGATTTTTTTTTTATTGTAGAGATGAGGTCTCGCTGCCCAGGTGGGTCTCGAACCCGCGGGCTCAGGCAGTCCACTCCCCTCAGCCTCCCAAAGGCGCAGGATTACAGGCTGAGCCACTGAGCCCGGCTCAGAAGAGTTTTTGAACTCACCAATTTTGATGCCTTTTAGTGCTACTGCTGTTTTTGTTTCACTTCTTCCACATTGGCAAAACGTTTCCCTTTGAGGACTTTTTTCATTCCGGGAAACAAACAAACAAAAAGTCGTTCTGGGTGAGATCTGGTGAATAGGGAGAGTGGGGTACAGGGGTCAGGCTATTTTTTGGTCAGAACTGCTGAACACTCAGTGCAGTGTGGGCAGGTGTGCTTGTAAATCACGCATCATGAAATGGGCGAATGCATTGAAAGAATCTCCAAAAAAAATTCGCTAAAGCCAAACGCAGCCTCTCACAACAACGCTAGCTGGTACATGGGTTCCTAGAAAACTTACGTAGTGGGAAAAGCCTGAACTACTAGGGGCCTGCCCTCCAAAATACAATTCCAGGTTATTTTATTTATTTATTTATTTAAATTTGGAAATTTTGTTTTCCAGGTTATTTTAGATTTTCTCCTGTGTTCTGTGTTCTCGTTCCTACACAGAATAGGCTGGGGATGAGCCTTATTCCTTGTCACTGCAGAGGACATGCCCTCTGGGTGTGTGTTTACAGGTGTCAGCAGTGCAGACCATAGCGATCTTGTGAATGGCAGGCAGAAGCTGAGTTTTGAGTGGTTATCTTTGAAAGGGTCCTTGAACCCAATAACCTCAAAGGTTTCAGAATTTTAGACATGTGGTTGTTGCATTTGAGGATTTTTATCAACTATTTAGGAGCAGAAAGTGGGTATACACGAAGGAAGATAAAGCAATTGGCAAAAATACATAAAATATAACTGACTTTAACTCTTGGATTGTCATTTAATTTTTCCTAAGTTTTAGAAGATGGATCTGTGTTTCTCCTGGGTTACCTTAGCTCCCAGGGATTCACAGAGGGTATGGCTTAATGAGGTTAGGATGCATCATGAGAGACAGTGAGTAGGAGGGGAACAAGCACACTCTTTGTCGCAAGAAATCTGAGTTCCAGTCTTGGCTTTCCCACCGAGTAGTGTAAAAACTCAAGGATTTTACCTCTCTGTGCCTCATCTGTAAAGTTGGGGACATCATTATCCTGCAGGAGTGTTGTGAGAGTTATTTAATAGAAGATGAAAAGAAGTCTTTTGTCATAATATCTGCAAAATATACAACTGTCCAAGGTCAGCTTTTACACAGAAAACAGTTGCTATCTCTTTTTAGTTCTAATAATAAAAAATTAGAACTAAAAAGTGATGTATGTGTTTACATATTCATGCTTTTGTCTGTCTACAGAACTTCTAAAATTATTTAAGTGTTTTACTGGGCTCAGGATTTCCTTATTCCTCTTATCTTTAAGGAAATGATGGTGATTCATTTCCATCTCCTTCCCATACCGTCTTTCCCTCTTCTGTTTTATAGAGCAAGGCTTAGATCACATAGCAGAAAACATTCTTTCCTACTTGGACGCCAGATCTCTGTGTGCAGCAGAGCTGGTGTGTAAAGAATGGCAGCGAGTGATCTCAGAAGGGATGCTTTGGAAGAAGCTGATTGAACGAATGGTACGCACTGATCCCCTGTGGAAGGGCCTTTCAGAAAGAAGAGGGTGGTAAGTACTGGTATTGCTTGTTCCCTTGAAAAAGTTGATTTGACATAGGGTCGGTCAGCTTGATGACTAAAAAAGGCAGTTATACTTGCAGATGTGTTGGCCTGCTTTAAACAAGTGGGAAAAATGAGTGGTTAAGAGATTTAAAAAAAAAAAAAAAAGAGGTAAAGCTGTTGGAATTTCCCCTTCTGAAATGTGCATTTCCTTTATGTTTATTAATTATTCCGAGTATTGTGAGGTTTGAATGGGGTGGCATTTCAAAGCTGTGAGTTTATGCATTTTCCTTCAAATTTTCTTGGATGGTGATACCATCCCCAAAAGATAGGTAAGACAAAAAAAACCATGAGAAATTAAAGTAATACCACTTTGCTATTTATTATTCTTGATGAGGTTATGGGAGGTACAGGACAGGATTTTCTGGAGAAAACCCATTAACTTAAATGCAGCTTTATAGCTGTGTGCTCTATGGCCCAGTTAGCACAGAGAGAATGCACTATGGACTGGGGTGCAGGGTGGAGTGAGTGAGGGTGGGGGCTGCATTTTCTTTATGGAAGGAAGTTTGATGTGTACTGAGTTAGGATTTTCACAAAGCTACCTTAGTCTTTTGACTAAACTCTATAGTGTGAAAGGCTGGATTATTGTGTCTGGTATTCAGAAAACAAAAGGCCAGGATCCTGTTAGAGAGCTGTGAATTCAACTAAACTTGTCATGGAACTCTGACATGGAAATTTAATTGTCAGAAATCTTGCTTTTGAACTGCTAAGGCTCAATGCACATTAAAAGACATGAAAGATATATCTTTGTCAGCACCATGTTTAAATAAAAATCACCCTTTTATGTGCAAAAATGTAACATCTGTTTGTTTTTATTTGCCAGGGATCAGTACCTGTTTAAAAACAGACCCACAGATGGCCCTCCCAATTCATTTTATAGGTCATTATACCCAAAGATTATCCAGGATATAGAGGTAACTTTATGATTTATCTGTTTTATGGGCTCTTTGTGTCTTGTTCTCAACTTTTTATGTTGCCTTCGAGTGTTCTTTTGTTCTAAAATCATGGAACTATAATTTTTTTTGAAGTTGGGCTTTTGGAGTAAATGTGTCATGATGTATATAAATCTGTAGTTATTCTCCAGAGTAGTTAATGTCTTTTGCAAAAAATATTTAACTTTTCTAAATGTAAGGCTACCAGTTAATTAAAACCTTAATTTAAAATCTACCTTTTGTTCTAATTTCCCCAAATCCAAGGCCCAGCTTTCCAGGTAAGCATAGTTTTACATCTGAGCCATCTCTAGAGGACTAGAGAAGGCACATTCTCAGTTTTATTCATAAGTTATGCATAGTTTTTCATAAAAATGACTTAGAAATTATTCTAAGCAATAGTGAAGTGTATTTTATAGAGTGTATTTTCACCAGACCAGTAAAACTCTGCAAACGTGATGAGAAACATTGGGGATGTTTGATGTTGTTCGTGTGTTCTAATTAGTTCAGTTGTATTATTTAGCCTTTCTCCTTGAACCGGGAGACATGCACAGGCATTTCTCATTAACTCTTTCACATGTGTTCTTGGCAGGTCTTGGTTACTTCACTATTTCCTCCTTGGCAGAAAAGCTTAGTTTTTGCTAGGCAATGCTGTATCACCCATAAAGTTATACTCAGTTTCCCAAATGTGAAGTAATCCTCTCCCCCAGGTGATAGACATAAAAGTTATTGTGCCAAAATTCATTAATGTAGAAACATGTGCTTTTTGGAGTCTCCCAACCCCCCCAGGCAGATGTGAACGAATGGAATCATTCCATTAATGGGAAATCTGAATATGACCAGAATATCATTTTTTGAAGCACAAACCCTGTCTTGAATATTCTGCTCTCTAAAATGACCTATAAAGTAACCTTTTAGGGAGGTTAAATAATTAAAACTTCCAGACAAATTGTAAAGTTTAGAAATTAATGGACCCAGTAGCAATACAAGACTTAGAATAAATTGCCCCTGCAGTGTAAGTAACTGAGACATAGTGGTATTTTAAATGTAGGTAGGGATGTGTGTTACCCCTAGACATTTGTTCTAAGGGTTGCTTGTGTACATGTCTTAGAAACTATGCTACCTTATGTCCCCCACCTGTGAGGGGAGGGAGGCAACTGTTTATAAAGTATCTCCAGATTTCTTTGAATCATTTTATCCAGTGTTTCAAAAAGGACTACATTTAAAGCTAATCATGAATAAACAGGAACTCTAGAAAAACTTTGATCAGGTTGAAGGTGTGGTGACATAGATGTTTTTATTGAATCTTCATGGCAACTATTATGATTGACAATAGGAACTCAGTATTCTGTGGCATGACAGTATACGATGCCACCTGCCATTACCATTTCCTCAGGCTGAAGTAATATTTTAAAGTTCATGGAGGAGGCAGATGTGAGGGGAAGCAGAGCTGTGGGGAAAAACCCTCTGTGGCACAAAACCTTTGCATCATGGTGGTCTACCCAGTGGTTCTTAAAGTGTGGTTTGGGAAAACCCACTGGTTGGCCACAAGAGACTCTTCCAGATTTTTGTGGGCTTGATCTCTTAGTGTAAGGGATGATGTTTATACTTTGGCATATTCACCACTAGTAGTAATGATAAAAATAATGTACCCCTAATAGCATTTGCTTGTGCCAGATACTTTGTCAAGCACTTTATAGGACATTTTCTCATTTCACGTTCTGGACAGAACCTGAAAGATAGGCCAAGTCCTTATTTTATGTTGAGGAAACTGAGGCTTAGAAAAGTTAAACAGCTGCTTAAGATCACACAGCTAGTGAGTAATGAAGTCTGTGAACAACCTTATACTTTTCTTCCCTTAATACAGTTTTTAAAAAAAAAAATAATACAGATCACTGGTACCACATCAAAATAGAGTTCTTTACTTCTGTTTTTGGATTGTGTTGTATTCTGTCCAGGGTAGACATATGTGTAGGGATTTCTTTCAGTGATTCATGGATCTAACAAATGAGGGATTCACCAGCTTGGCTCTGCCCATATGGCTGGTATGAAACCCTCCTAAGCAGAGTAGGATAGTTACAAGAACTTTTTTCTGAGCCCTTGCAGTCTGTCATGAATTATGTTGGGTGATATCCACGGGCTGTTGCATTCAATTCTTATAACAGGGTGCATATTATTATCCCTGTCTGTAATAGTGGAAAACGGAAACTAAAAGATGTTTTAGAACTTGCCACATAGTCAAGTAGAAGAGACAGAATGAGCTTTCACTGAGGCCTGTCTCGCTCTAGGCTGGGAGTTGTTGGTTGTCCTTTTCAAAGTGGAAAATTCAAGAAGGGAGGGAGAAGGAAGCATATTATTTTATGCTTGCAGAATTTCAAGGTGGTCTTCTCATCTTTCTCCAATTGTGTGAATCCTTAATGTCCTTGACAGTTCGTTGAAAAAAGAGTATGAGTTACGATAAGATTAGTCGGTCTTGTTTTAGTCCAGTTATATGAAAGATAGTGCATTGAAGGACTGTAAGCACATTGCCAAAAGATAGATGACACCCAGAATGTCAAGTGGCTGTATATGTCCCCCCACCTCCCCACTCGCCTGCACACAGCTCCAGAGCCTTTTGTTTTTTCCCTTACACCTACAGGGTTGCCAGGTCACAACACCTTTTTCTTTTTTTTCCTTCTTCCTCTACTGTGACAGCTTGTCTTATGTACTGGCTCCTGTTATCCATCCGCTTTCAGATTTGGTTCTGATGAGCAGAAAAGGAAATGTTCATCTCTGAACTTGTCTTTCTACATGAACCCACCAAAAATGGGCTAACATTGAAGGAAAAGAAGAGAACCTGGCTTAGTATAGCTAACTCCTATTATTCAGGAAACGAGAGCGTGAGAAATGAAGTCAGAGGAGAATAAATACACATCCTTTGCTTGTTGCAAAAGTTCATCTCTCCTGGGTGCTCCTGCCACACATTGAGAGGGATTACAGGGTCCTGAATTGAGAAGAAATTGCTGGAAAACCTAAGACTCACTCCTAAAGGAGGCAGCCATCTACTCCTTTGCTATCTAGAGCTGTAGCTGTGTTGGTATTATTACTTCTGTTGTTCTCAATGGTGGGCTGACTGCTAGATGCTGTGCTACAGTGATTTAACTTAATCCTCAAATTATCCAAACTGAGACTGTTACTCCAAAGCCTGTGCTCTTTTCACTCCATCATGCCCCCAAGTGTCCATCAGCAGAGAGACTGGGATTGTTAGAATAGTCATAGTCCTGATATTCTGAGCTTGGATTTTCTCTTTCCATTTCAGAGTGAGGACAAACTCCTTCATGTAACACACCTTTTCCCTCTCTTATTCATTGCATTAAACCTTTGAAGTGCTCTTCTTGGACAGACCACTGGGAAAATGATGGTGTGTTGTATCGCACCTTTTAATAAACCACATTTTATTCAGGGAAAGTAGGGAACTTTTTTGTGGTTTGCAAACTTGATATTAACATTGTCCTGACCAGAAAATGTCAAACTTGCCCACCCACCCAGTTGTGTTTAGGCTTCTAAAAATAATGTTATTCTGCCATACTCAGACATCTGTTTTCACTCTATTGCCAATTTAAATGCCGCTGTATATTCTGTGTATCATGGCTACTTTCCCAGGATTTTGAAAATTTGCACAGGGTAAGGGGATTTTACAAGTTCTCAAAAACATGCACTGTTCCTCCACAGTAGCCATACCACATGATGGCCAAGCGAAATGGTAGGTAGCCACATAATTAAAGAAGTGCACCTGTGTGTGACCTATTTTCCTGCGACTGACATTAGGATAATGGTGGGATTCCACAGCAAGGCTGAACCCCTTCCTGGAATGGTTAGGGAAGGCACAGGCTTGTTAGCATTAAATATCAGCCTAGATGGAGACAACGATTTTTGGCAATTTGGTGAGGTTTGTTTTTTTGTTTGTTTGTTTTGGTTACAGAGCTCTATTTTTTTTTTTTTTTGAGTTGGAGTCTCACTCTGTCGTCAGACTAGAGTGCAGTGGCCGCTTCCAGCCACCACAGCCTCAACCTGCTGGGCTCTGGCGATCTTCCGCCTCAGCCTTCCAAGTAGCTGGAACTACAGGCGCGCGCTACCACGCCCGGCTAATTTTTGATTTATTGTAGAGATGAGGTCTCACCAAGTTGCCCAGGTGGGTCTTGAACCCGTGGGCTCAGGCAATCCACTCACCTCAGCCTCCCAAAGGCGCGGGATTACCGGCTGAGACACCAAGCCTGGCTGGAGCTCTATGTTTGATCAGTGTTTTCAACAGTTGAGGAAGAACATAACTGCTACCATTTGCTGGCACTGCGATGGGAACTTAAATGTATTTTCATTTGAATCTTACAGTAGTGTCGAGGGAGTAGATATCATTATTCCCGTTTTTACAGAGGAGGAAACTGCCACTTAGACAATGAAAGTCATGGGCCAAACCTGCTGCTTGACCTAGGTACTTTCTTCCACAGTGGGCTGCTTGCCAGTTTAAAGATCTAGTTTTTCTATAGAAAACCTGGCTTATAAGCATGCAGGTAACAGCCGAGGTTGTCAAACATGGGGGTAGTCTTTTAGGCAAGCATAGTCTCTTTCATTACTTTTTAGGAGAAGCTACACTTGTCTTGGGATTCAGGAAACTAAAGACTTTAAAACAGTCCTAAGCGAGAACTTTCTAAAATGACACATCAAGACTTGTTGGGCAAATGTTTTCTTTTAAAAATCAGAAGTAGTCTGGGCTCAGTGACTCGCGCCTGTAATCCCAGCACTTTGAAGAAACTGAGGTGTGAGGATCACATGAGTCCAGGAGTTTGAGACCAACCTGGCAACATAGTGAGAACTTGTCTCCCCAAAAAGTAAAGAATTAGCTGGGCATGATGTTGCGTGCCTGTAGTCCCAGCAACTTGGAAAGCTGAGATGGGAGGATCACCTGAGCCCAGGAGGTAAAGGCTGTGGTGAGCCATGATTGCGACCCCTGCACTCCAGCCTGGGCAATAGAGTAAGACCTCAACTCATATAAATAAAGTAAAAATCAGAAATGTATTTGAAAAATTAGGCTCTTTAAAAGCATTGAGAAGCCAGGCTCGGTGGCTCAGCCTGTAATCCCGTGCCTTTGGGAGGCTGAGGTGAGTGGATTGCCTGAGCCCGCGGGTTCAAGACCCGCCTGGGCAGGCGAGACCTCATCTCTACAATAATCAAAAAATCAGCCGGGCGTAGTAGCGCATGCCTGTAATTCCGGCTACTCGGAAGGCTGAGGCAGAAGGATCGCCGGAGCCCAGCAGGTCGAGGCTGCGGTGGCTGGGAGCGGCCACTGCACTCCAGTCTGGGCGACGGAGTGAGACTCCAACTTAAAAAAAAAAAAAAAAAAAAAAAGCGTTGAGAAGCTAAGCCATTTGGTAACTTCCATTCAGCTTGGAGTGAAAGTTTGCTGTCTAGCAGAGCTTCTGAGAGGTCTGCCAGCTCTCATTTGAGGGTTGGAGATAAGGGGTCCGGCTTAGCCTTTAATGTCAGGTGTTATTCTCTGTCCATACATCTCAAGGGACTGATGCGTACCACGCAGATTGTCGAGCCTGGCCCAAGCTCCCCTCTATAGTCTTCTCTGCTGTGTCTTCCGGGCTTTAGGTCTAGGCAGAGACTGGAACCATGTCACCCAGTTCTAGAAAACATTTTAGATGGGAGAGCATGTAGGAAACTCTTTTTTGGTATGAGGATTCTCTACCTATCTCCCCTTTGTTTTGTTTGTTTGTTTGTTTGTTTGTTTTTGAGTCAAAATCTCACTCTGCCACCCAGGCTGCAGTGCAGTGTCATGCTCACAGCCACCGCAGCCTCGATCTCCTGGGCTCAGGCGATCTTTCCTCCTCAGCTTTCCAAGTAGCTGGAACCACAGGTGCACACCATCACACTCAGCTAATTTTTTTACTTATTGTAAAAATGAGGTCTTGCCAAGTTGCCCAGGCTTGCTCTTGAACCCTTGTGCTCAAGCAGTCCTCTCGTCTCCACCTCCCAAAGTGCTGGGATTACAGGCGTGAGCCACCATACCCGGCTCCCTTCTTTTAAAATTAAGGACAATTTTTTTTCTCCTCAGACTCCCGTGTGATAGTAAACCTACTTTTTCTGGGAATTCATTGTAATCCCCAGAGTAACAAAACTATTTACTGATTCAGCAACATTTTAAAACACTTGTATGTTTTAAACCTAAAATAGTCATATGAATTTTAAAAGGTATACCCGACACATATGTACAACATACTGTCTACTCATCTTTGTAATGCTTTGGGTTAATGTGAAGTCATACATTCTGTGGCAGCTCCATGGGCCCTAGAGGATGTAGTCTGAACCTTGTGACCACTGTCAGGAGTCTGGCTGCGAGTTCCACTTGTCACCAGCGCATCTGCCTCCTAAGTCAGCGCTTTCCTGGAATGCTTGCTGAGGTGGCACAGTCACTAACTAAAGATACTTTGTTTCTCTAAATTGTTCCAAGTATTGAGTTCAACTTAAGAAATGCTTTATATTCTGGACTCCTTTTTTAAAAGTTGCTCATGCAGACAGATCTGTTGTCAGCCTTGATAGAGGCAACACAGGGGGAGTGAGTTCATTTTTGTGGCTTTTTATTTTACCAAGTCACCAGAGCTGATGCCCTGGCCAGGAAGTTCTGACTTGGAGGCAGATGACATCCCCTCCTTCCTCTCCTCCCTAGGGCAACTCCTTGCATCCCCGGGTGTTGGAAATGTGCTGACCTGCCCTTGCTCATGGATGTGTGTGCGAGCTCTTCGAAAGCTGGTGTCATATTCCTAGGGCCCTTGCTAAGCACCAGGGCCATGGATGCTGGGAACATGTATTTCATTTTTAAGTATATATGTATCAGTAGCTCTAGCCCTCCATTTCTTTTTGTGCAAAATGCAGACAATATTTCCAGCTTCAGAGTCATGGTGATTAAATTAGTTACAAAACACATAGCATGATGTTGAGAAAGCATAGTTCCTGGCATGTAGCTTTCAGTACATTTTAACATTTTAGAGTATACAGAAGCACACTGCCTTCAAAATAGGAGGAAATAGTTTGCTAGATATCAGCAGAGCCAGTAATTAAGTGCTTATTATGAATAAAGATGAGACTTACCTCCTTTCTTCAACAAAGCAGGTAATTAAACTTTTAACTACACAGAGATAAGTAGCTACTCAGAGAAAATCTGTCCTGAACTGATGTATTACCAGTTATTGCAGTCTCTATTGTCCCCTGATTTAAAGGGTTAGAAATTCACACTTTGGTTGTCTTAGTAGAGACATTGCATCTTTTGATCCTGAAAAATCTCTCATATCTATCCAGAGATTATAGATCTTCTAGTCCTCCAGGCTGACCTACTTCCTCATTCAACTCGTCCAGTGGTCTTAGGCCATAGTGGTCATTATCTCCTGTAGCACTTAGAATTTTTATTGCCCATTTGGAACTTCCATTTTGCCTGGACTCATTACTGATTGTACATTCTGTGTGCACTGCCTTAAGAGCTAGGACCATCCTTCCGTGTAGGTTTTGAATATGTTAGTAGCAGAAGCACAGGCTCAGAGTCAGGGAACTGGGTGTGATTTCCAGCTGCTCCGATGACTGATTTTGTGGCTGCAGACAAATTAAACTCTGTTTCCTTGTTTGTAAAAGGGAAATAATAAGAACTTCCTTCCAAGGTTATTACGTGGATTATTTAACCAAATAAATTTAGTTTAGAGCATATCCAGTTCCAGATCCTGTGTACCTAAACACTGACGTGGTGCCTCCCTGAATGTTGTATGCCTCCAGTTGATCTTTCTAGCACAGTACCTGGAATATATTAACATCTCAGTAAGTGTTGCATGAATGATGAAAGATCGAGAATCCAGGACTGAAATGTGCCATTTTTACTCTGAAGAAACTTTAGCCTGGTGGGAGTTTAAAAATAATAACAAATAAAATTCCTTATATGTAGTTGGCATGTAGTGGTTGCTCAATATCTTCTCTCAGTGATCCAGTGATCAAAACTATACTTTGTTTGGATATGTTGATTGTCAATATATGTTTAATGATGGTGGCAGTCTTCTGCCAAATATTTCAATTGGCATTAGGGAGCAACCCAATGACTTATTATTTATTTGTTTGCTTTGGGTGCAAATGGCATTTTTTAAACATATTGAATTCTGTCTAGGCCATTTTTTTCAAACCCAACCCAAAACTCATTGGAAATCCTGTGATAGTTGCCAAACGGGTAGGGAAAGTTTGAGAAAAACATCGTTGGGCTAATGTCTTACTTGGAAAAGAGCATGATTCCTATCCACAGACAGTCATGCAAAGCAAGATCGGGGCGTCAGTGGTATGCTGTTTCTGGAAGCAGTGCCAAAGTCTGAAACCCAACAGAAATGTCGATTCACAAAAACTCATCTCTTTCCTCCTTTTCCCTAGACTATAGAATCTAACTGGCGGTGTGGACGACACAACTTGCAGAGGATTCAGTGCCGCTCGGAAAATAGTAAAGGTGTCTACTGTTTACAGTATGATGATGAAAAAATTATCAGTGGCCTACGAGATAATTCTATTAAGGTGAATGACTGAATTTTGTATGTATTATTTTTAGAATCGTGGTTATGTGTTACACACTAGATGTGACAATCTTTTCGTTTACTCCAGATAGTTTTTTTAAATCTCTTCCACTCAATCTTGGCAGCTCTCAGTGTGGTTCTGAAGAGGCAGAGCCAGAGCATTTCTTTGTAACTAATACAGGACACTGAATTGTCTCACTTATTATCCTCCTGTAAGCACATTCACATTCTATATTTTGTATTAGGTGAAAATAAAATATTTCCTAGTATCACAGGGCTCTTGATTACTTGGCTAGATGGTAGTGTTGCTAGTTTGTGAATCTAAGTCATTCTGTCTTACAGTTTCTGAGAAGGACTCTGATGATAATACAGACGAATGATGGAGCATCTGACATTGTTTTCACTCCCTTTTCATTAGTAAATAAATTAGATTGTTTCTCTGTTTAATCTGTTTGATGACTGATCTGACATTTTGTTTTTACATGATTTGTAGCTTATTTCTTCAGTATTTAGAAAACATTAGGGTCTGTTTTTAAACTTTTAAAAATAGTTATAATTTGCATACCGCAAAGCTTACTCTTTTTGTTGTAAAATTCTGCGGGTTTTGACAAACATGTAGAGGTGTATAGCAACAGCAGTCAAGATACAGGACTGATCTTTCACTCCTCCAGACCCCCTTTTCCTGCCCCTTTCCATTTCCTGTACTCTTCTGCCCCTTTCCTATACCTAGCTATTTATCTGCTGAAGGGCAATTATCTTGTTTCCAGTTTCTCACAATTGTATATAAAGCCACAATAAACATGTGCATGTTGGTTTTTAATGGATGCATAAGTTTTTGGTTCATTGGGTAAAAATCTAGGAGTGGGATTGCTGGCTTATATGGTAATTGTATGTTTTACCTGCTAAGAAACTGCCTAGCTGTCTTCCAAAGTACCTATATCGTTTTGCATTCCTGTGAACAGTGTGTGAGAGTTCCTGTTATTCTGCATCCTTGCCAGCCCTTGATATTCTGTTTTTTTGTTTTGTTTTGTTTGTTGTTGTTGTTTGAGTCTCACTCTGTCGCCCAGACTGGAGTGCAGTGGCATGATCACAATGATCATGGCTCATGGCAGTCTCAACCTCCTGGGCTCAGGCAGTCCTTCTGCCTCAGCATCCTGAATAGCTGGGACTACAGGTGTGCACCACCACGCTTGGCTAGTTTTTTCTCATTTTTTGTAGAGATGAGGTTTTGCTATGTTGCTCAGGCTGGTCTTGAACTCCTGTGCTCAAGCAGTTTGCCTGCCTCGACCTCCCAAAGTGCTGGGATTGCAGGTGTGAGCCACTGTGCCTAGCTCTTTTTAAAAAATTTTTATTTTTTAATAAATTAGCCATTCTACTCTGTGTGTAGACATACCTCATTTTGCTTTAAATTCATATTTCCCTAATGACGGGTAATAATGAGTGTTTTTTCATATACTTATTTACCACCTGTATATTCTTTGGTGAAGTTTCCTTTCAGATCTTTTGCCCTCTTTAAAATGAATTATTTTCTTATTATTGAGTTTTTAGAGTTCTTAATATAGTCTAGATACAAGTCCTTTGTTAGATATGTTTTGCAAATATTTTCTCCCATTTTTTTCTTTTGTGGCTCATGCTTTTCATGTTCTAAGAAGTCTTTCACTGAGCTTCTTGAATCTGTAAATTTATCTCTACCTTTCAGAAGTGTTTAGCCATTATTTTTTCAAATATTTTCTTCTGTACCAGTTTCTCCCTCCTTTCTTTCTGAGACTCTAACCACATAAGTATTAGATCTTTTGATATTGATTACTTTCAATCTTTTTTCCTGGATAATTCCTGTTGGTCTGTTTTAAAGTTGAATGAATTTTTCATCTCTCATCTCTACTCTGCTGTTGCCCTCCATCAAGTGAGTTTTTTTATTTCAATACTATATTTTATGGTTTCTAGTCTTCTGCTGAGAATTCTTCTTTTTCATTGACCTCAAGCATGGTTATCTTTACCCATGAAGTATAGTTAGAGTAGCTGCTTTAAAGTCTTCAACTATGTCAGTAACTGGGTAGTCTCTAGCCTAACATCTGTAGATTGTCCAGTACCCTGATAACTGATCATTTTTCTTGGTTTTTATATGCCAAACAGTTTAAAATAGCATTTTGGACATTGTGGATATTACGTTGTGAAGACTATGGATCCTACTAAAAATCCTCTGGAGAATGTTTTCTGAGTGTATTTTTAAGCAGATAGCCTAGTTAAGTTGAGAACATAGGTTCTGTCTTGACTTCATCAGAGGGTTTGGGGAATGGTTTTGATCTCTTTTCCACTTTCCAAAGCCTTTGCCATGCTACTTTGGGACCATCTGGGGCTTGCACTACTCAGAGGTTAGTCTGAGACTCCAGCAGTGGTTAAATATCAGCTCACTTTTATAGCCTCTGATATGCTGATTCAGTCTGTCCTATGCATGCACAGCTCTAGGGTGAGCCCAAGTCATATGTTGTGTGGGCTATTTTTCTCCAGTTATTTCTTCTGGGATTTGCCTAAGTCTCTTCGGCCCATAGGGATACTTTTTGCATTTTCCTCTTGCCAGAAACATGGGGTTTCTCTTGGAATTTTAGTTATCTTTTTCACTGTTTTGCAGTGCATCTTCATGAGTGGGGCCTGTCTTTGGGTCAAAACCATGTGAGAAAAGAGAAAAAAAGGGAGGCTTTCATACATTCTCTGGACCCCACGGATCCCTTTTTACAGCCTTTCTGTTCAGAAAGAGGGAATTCTCTCAGAATTTTAGCTGTCTGTGCTATTTCACTGTGTAGCTTCCTGATTAGGGCTTGCCTTTGAGCCAAAGCCACAATAGAAAGAAAAGAGAAAACAACAAATACAAAGAACTCACCCTGTGCAGATTGTTTCTCCAAATTTTGACTTCTTGCCTTGTCTTATTTTTCAGAGTCCTCAGCTACTTGTTTGTGTATTTTGTCTAGAGTCTTTACTTATAATCAACCAGAAAGAGACATTGTAGGGCTTTCTCCGTCTTGGCCCTGTTTTCTATGTTTTACTTTGGGTGAAATAAAGTTTCTTTGCTTTTTGTTGTACTTATTTATTTATTTTAAAAAATAAAGTAGTGGAATTTTAATAATTCAACTAAGTAGGGCAAAAAGTACTGTGAATTATAGGATATAAAGAAACTGCTTAGTTGGTTTCCTATATGTATGATGTCTGCCAAAAGGTTTTCTGTGGATGTGAATCTAAAGGATGATAAAAGGCATTCTAGGCAAAGAATGATGCCTTCCAAAGATGTTTAGGTAATACTGCATGCTGCATCTCTACCTTGGAAATCCATAGGATACAGTAACACATAAAGGCTCCAAGAAGGCCTACAGTAGAGGCACCTGGTATTTCCCAAGTTCCAAAACTTACATGACCACAGAACTCTATTTTTATGTAATTAATACTTATTGGTAGCCCTAACCTGTGGCCACCAATATACTCTAGAAAGAATGACATATGTTACTATTTAATTTTGGTAGTTTTCCTTTAAGGAATAGATAAGAATGGCTTTAAACAACCTTGTCAAAGCATTATTGACTGTAGGCTTGCAATTCATTTATACTGGATGTGTTTTCTAAATAATTATCTTAATATAGGCACACCTATTTTTAAATTAGGCTTACATTTTTTATAAGAAACAGAATAGCAGAGCAGATGTACACTTTAGAGAGATTATCTAGACCAGTGGTTGGAAGCCTTTTGTACGTGATTCTGTACTTATCCTGATTACTAATCACTTTTAAAATAGCTCAGTTTCTATTAGGTCAGAAATTAAAAGCAAGCTTTGCTATCATAGATACTTAAATGTCTATAGTATTTATAAAATTTTATCTACTAGTGGTAAAATTTAAAGACAATGCAAATTATGATAGTGTTATTTTACAAGTCAAGAAACAGGTCCATAGAGTCAGTTTTTAGCAGTTCAATCTTCTAAAACATAAATTCTCATCTCGCATTAAATATGAACAGGATTGAAGACTTGGGAAACACTAGAAACTTTAAAAGCAAAGAGAGGGTTCAGTATGTAAGAAGTTTGGAAGTTGCCATTCTGAACAAACTGAAAAATCAACAACTCTGCTTAGATTCATAAGAGAAGAATCATAAGAGAAGCTGCTGCTCCCCATGGAGAGATAGCCAAATACAGGTGATTACAACTTTCTGGAGCAGAAACCCACCAGCAGAATCATCTGTGAGAACCAATGCCTGGGTAGGGTAACCTGAACTTTAATTGACAAATTGCTGGAGGCTCAGTGTGGACAAAACAGAAAAACTCCAAGAGGACCCAGTTATCAAGGAGGCCCCCACACTTTTGTTAGTTTTATCTTCAACAACTTTACCAAGTCCTCACAGTGATTATGAGAGAAAATTGCCACCAGCTTCCAGCAGGGAGTGGGAAAAAGAAACCATTTTTATATACATCATAGTATTCTGTTCTTCTAAACAAGGTCTACCCTCAAAGAGACTTTTTTTTTTTTGAGTCGGAGTCTCACTCTGTCACCCAGACTGGAGTGCAGTGGCACGCTTACGGCCGGCCACCACAGCCTTGACCTGCTAGGCTCAGGCGATCCTTCCGCCTTAGCCTTCCAAGTAGCTGGAACTACATTCACGCACTACTACACCTGGCTAATTTTTTTGATTTATTGTAGAGATGAGGTCTCATCAAGTTGCCCGGGCTGTTCTCGAACCTGTGAGCTCAGGTAGTCCTGTCACCTCAGCCTTCCAAAATGCTGGGATTATAGGCATGAGCCACCGCCCTGGCCCAAAAGAGACTATTTAACCAGAGCCTAATTGACTTGGAGGAAGGGAAATACCCAAACCCTCTCTAGCTATTCGATTCCACCTAAAGAGCGAGGTGAAACTAAGAAGCGCTTATGAAGTTCACAGTCTAGAGGAAACAGGCTCACTAAAAGACTGATACCTAATTCTAGGACTATAGATTGCTTCCCTTCTTTCTACATCATACCATAG